TTTAATCTTGCAAAGCCTTTATAAAATAATTATAAAAATGAATTTGCCTCATTAGTCGAACTCACATGAGGATCAGAGATTTGAATTAGGCATCGTATATGACTTGTCGTCTTGCCGCATGAGGCACAATTTCAACATGTGACGCGTGCTGACGCGTCGATGCGGTGCCAACGTGGGTGTTTTGTATGAGGGCAACTCTCGCGATGCACCGAACGCACGTACGATGGCACAAATACGAGCCAGTGATGTGTTAACATTCATTGTGCTCAAATTATGATGTAATAGCGCGGGTTATTGTCACATTACATACCGGCGGCGAGAGTCTCCCTATTGTACGGCGGCAAGGTGCACGTGATTGATTAAGTCTATAATACACGGCCGTCCGGTATTCACCGATATTAATAACAGATTGTTCGTTAATTAATTATCTTGCCTACTATCGTATGTGACGCTATTACGATCTGCCTCTCGTTTTTACGGCTATCTTTGTCTCAACTTCTCCGAGATTTCTCTCTGCAATTACCTGCGCGACATCGAGTACAAAGCCTCTAGATATATTGTCCTATTACTGGCGTAATAAGGTATCGAACAGCGCGTCCGAGTCTGACTCGGTTGAATTCTTAGCTGCCGTGTAGATGCGTAACTTATCGACGTACAAGACATGCGCTCCGAGGAGTATTGTTGCTTTATAATGAAAACGGGATGATTAGTATTACTTCGCTATTCATGCTGTTGTGCTTTTGATGATGTATCTCAAGATGAAAGCGGTACGCGCATGCACGTTCCGGATTACATCGCGTAATCGAGCACCCGGTATTAACGCAGCCACGCATATTTGAAGCTAATTGAAGACCTCAGATTTGGGACGAGTAAACAATCTTACGGATCAGATTAGCGCATTAGCAACTGCCATCCATCAATCTTATCTGCTCACCCTCCTAGAACCGTGCCTATTATGTCGCGAGACGACGCCCGTTAATGCGCTCGTTCAAGTTCGAGCTAATTTTAGATGCGAAAGTGAGCCCTCGCGTGGCCATTAGATCCAAATGAGCTCTGCCCAGATCCATCCAAAGCAGGCCGAGTCGACTATGACGCCACGAGGCGCAGGGAGTTCGGTTTTCCTCCTAATTAGATCGAGATTGAATTCAGACTGCTCGATTCGGGAGGATAGATTTAATTGACAGCGAAAAGAATGCGCGAATTTTCTTTGTTCATTACGTATCGCCAATGTGAAAGTGACATGCGTTTTTTTTTTTCAAGCTTTATCTTGTACTCAGCTGAACGAGTCACGTACCTAAATGCTTTTAAGATAAAAGAAAGACTAACAAATATAACAGTATTCTTCATCTTAATTGCAAATTCTGATAATTATTAATGTTAATATTAATATTAATTTTTTAAATAAAATCTACGAAACCATGAATATTTTTTTCAATATTGATAAAAGTATCAGAGTAACTTTTCGAATAATGTTTTTTAAATAAGGTAAAATGATGAATATTTTTTTTGTTTAAGATTCCAGTACTTCAAAAATAAGCTGCGAAATCGTATACATGATGCATATCACAATCTAATAATCCGATATTTCGGTACAATGCCATTTACGCAATTAGTCTGGGATTTGCAGGACTGTTTAATCGCTCGATTAAACACCTGTCTTTAAGCGGTTTCGATTTTAAATCTCCGTGCCATTGCATCCAACGCGGTTAGCAGCGTGCAGGCAATTATTGGACACATTTGTATTGTAATTAATATCAGAAATATTGGGCGTTCCGGAAACAGCTGAACGAATTTGATTATTAACACGTTTTAAATCAAAAATAATATAATGATCACAGAATAGCGTTCTCACAGATATTATAATGAATTAAATTTCTCGTATATGATTAATCAAATTTGACTTTTAATTAATCGAAAAAATATTACAGAGAAAATCGAGAAAAAACAAGGTTACCAAAAAAAATGAAGAAAAATTGGCGAAGCAAAAAGTGACAATTTTGGTGTTGCAGAAAAGAATATTATTGTACGTATTGGTATTTTAACTCTAACATTCTTCTAATTATTATTATTACATACAAGATCTTCAATATGTAATACTGGCCAACAATGGATAATGTATAAAAAGCTTTTATGCTTGTAAGAAGCCTTTATGTTCGTAGGAAGCCTTTATGCTTCTTGTTAGAATGTTAGAAAGTTTTTCGCAGCTTGTAATTAAATAAGCGACGCGTATTAAGGTGATATATAAAGGGTTAATAATATTGTCACGCTCTTATCGCGACATCAATACGCAGAGGGATTTTCCGACGATATTTTGCGATAGTTGTACGTGCGCAAAGTGTGAATCGATAAGAGGAAAAGAGGCGACAGAAGACAGAGCGACAAATAGACGAAGTAAATCCGCGGAGAGATCGCCGGCAAGAAACTGAAGTGGAGAATGCGTTTAGGTTGCGGCGCACGACTAGCAGTCACGGCCAGTTACAGGCAATAAAAGCAGATTAAAAAACTCCATTCTCCGAACGCCGACGGGGTAAAATAGCGATGGGGAACCGCATCGACATTTACCCCAGGGAGAACAGCAACTAACCAGCGCAAAAAAGAGTCTGTACAACTATGTCTCACTTTCTTCTTGATAAGAACTGCAATTTCGCGCATCTACCAAGGGACCCCGTTGATTCGAAAACTGACAACAGTAAATTACACGTCTTCATAAGTCATTTTCTTTTTTTTAAACAATATTAAAAGTATCGGAGTAAATAATAGTGAGAAAAATCAATTTGAGCTTTAATTTGCACGGATTCGACGAGCTGCCATGCACGCTGATGAAAGCGCAGGAAAGTTATCAAATTGGCAAGCGCTTATCGCTTTTCGGTAAAGCTAGGTTCATGCGAGAGCGCATTAATGCGATGAATAACATACGTCATATAAAGGGAGGTTCTCGAGGACCTTTATCGCGACGTCAATGGCGATCGATCCCGGGGCCGCTTGGCTCGGTAATTAATCGCGCGGGCCTTTGAGTTTGCCTGCATTTCCGGTGGAAGCTCGTACAAGCATAAAATGCCAGTATATCGTTCAGAGGCAGCAAATTATTTTCAGCTTTGGAAGCTCCAGGGCGACTGAATTGTTTCACGTAAAAAATTGACCTTTCAACCCCCGCAGTTAATTCGATTATAGCAAAATAGAAAGAGGATACAAAAAAATGTATAGCAGTTTTTATAGTTCCTACATCATACTGTGCATTTGCACGTAAATTTATAGAACACAATTGTGCATTGCTAAAATGTTTTAATTTTTGTAATTTTTAATAATATTTTTTCATTATTGATAGTAAATATTATAAT